ACCCGTAAACGTCAATATGAAATCGTAATGCTACCCACAAATAAAAGCACTACATTCCCACGTTCACCTTTTTAAAGGAAAGCTCATTTATTCCTATCTTTTCGCGCGATTACGCACAACCGTTCAACTCTGTGAATACCCCGTTATCTGTACAGGAGCTTTCACTGAAGCAAAAACCGACGAGCACACGATTAAACTGGAATATATTTCAAGCATACGCCTGTTAACGTGGAAACAGTTCTGATAAATATTTCATCACGTATTAACCTTCAGTGAAAATAGTTCTCGTTTGATTTGAAGTTGGATTTTGTGAAAGTTGCAGTTGCTATTTCGTCTGATATGTATTTTTCGATGAATTCATCAACACTATCATCTTTCCGTAACCGTTCGTTGGGTCCCTGAATGGAAGGAGTTGGTCCCGAATGATTTCGACTGTGGCAGTGTGAACATACTATCGGTTTCTGTTCTTGTAAGTTGTGGGTGGTATCTGACACACAGCCCTGGGATCGACCTCCACGGACATACAAAACCGTGTATATTTCACAACATATACGATTCCTTTCTTCTGAAGGAGCAACGGTGGCCCGTCGTCTCTGGCGCCGATATTCGCTGTGGAGAGTAGCGTCTTGGAGGCATGCCAACAACTGTCGGTCGTCGGTTCGAATCCCGGTTCGCCCTGATTATAGTTCTATGTTATTGGCACCATACCCCGGCTAGTGTAGACATCTACGTCTTTGAGTGGCATTCAAGAAGCTATAGTTGGTTGGTTGGTTGTTTTACGCCGCACTCAGCAGCATTCCAGCTATATGACGGCGGTCTGTAAATAATCGAGTCTGGAACAGACAATCCAGTGATTGATATAATGAGCATCGATCCACGCAATAGGGATCGATGACATGCTTCAACCAAGTCAGCGAGCCTGACCACCCGATCCCGTTAGTCGCCTCTTACGACAAGCATAGTCGCCTTTAGTGCAAAGGGAGACAGGGTTGACTTGTTGAATTTTATTGAAAGAAGGAATAAGTTGAAAGTCCACTCTAACACCCTCGCCACCATGGCTTTCCCGAAACATGATGCGGACACGCGGTGATATACATGACATACTGTCCAGAGCGGTGTGGAACCAAACTGACGTACTTATCTTCCACACCTCAAGAGAATACCATTGAACAAGCAATCGTTGCTACCTCGAGCCGACGCTTTAACAACCAGGCTATCCCCCTGCACCTTTTGGTTGAAGAATATGACGTATCAAACCAAGGATAATACATCTCATTTTTGTGGAACCAGATCACGGCGATCTCCGCAATTAAACATCTAAATCAGCATTTACAACCGAATTAAGGATGTCTTCTTTGAATGATGATTGATGACCAGGCTAATATCTCCGTTCTGACGAATCACCCTTATCTCCAAACTATGGAAGCGTTTATGTCGACTCTTTAAAAAAAAGAGCGACAAAAAGGTATATTTTATACATTTCTCAAGTTCCAAGCTCAGTGAAAGAGTAGTGAAATGAATAATCGAAATTCTTATCAGTAATAAATCCCAAAGGATATAAATTCATGAAAATTGGGAATAATTAATCGGAATTTAATTATTAAGCTGGAAGATAATACTCCCTCCTATCCTCCAACCTCTTATCTCCGTGGCGGTTGAGGAGGCCAGAATTGTGGGGTGAATTAATAATTCAAAGGAGTCTATTCAAAAATACAATCGTTACGCATACGTACTTCAACATGTATATATTTTCTTTAATATACATTAGACAAAATGTTATTTCCATGAGACATTAACAGTCAAGCAAGAAGAAACAAAGCAGGACAGTTGAAATATTTATTTGGTAAATAAATTTATGTCAACAATGTTTTTGACATTATAATGTCTAACTATTCTCTTACTGCAGATCTGAAACACGGACACTGCCGCGCAGTACCGTACAGGAACCATGATCTCGTTAATTCACTCTGTGTACAAAAAAGACTGTATACAACATATTTTGTATACAAAACATTCTGCATACAAAATACTCTGTATACGAACACTATGTCTATATAAAATACCCTGTATACAAAATACCATGTATACAACACACTGTGTATACAAAACTATCTGTAAACATACGCGATACAAATCTTTCCATAATCAATAGAGACCATTGTACGAAAAACTGTTAACCAGTAAACCACATTGTCTCAACCATCACATTCTACCATTAACTTATGAGTGTTCTATAAATCCAAATAAAATAAAATTAAATACAAATTCTTATAGCATGTACTAAAATGACTTTAGCGAGAACGTTATTGTTCTGTTGGTAACATTTTTCTAAATTTGAAAAATTTAAATCGATTTCGCTTGACATGTATACAAGCAAGAGATTTCATAATATTACATGTGAACATTTTTCTAAACAATTAGTCTCCATCTTCCTGACTTGCAGGGGCGGTCGGGTGGCTTAGCGGTTAAAGCGTTCGCACGTTACGCCGAAGACCCGGGTTCGATTCCCGACATGGGTACAATATGTGAAGCCCATTTCTGGAGTACCCCCGCCGTGATATTGCTGGAATATTGCTAAAAGCGGCGTAAAGCCATACTCACTCGATCCTGACTTGCATAAGGGATTTTGACAGGGGAATAATTGGTAGACTATAAAACAGCTGGTTTATTGTGTTTGAATAGGAAGAACCTCTAATCGTGTAGATCCTGTTTATTACATTTTATTAACGGTAAAGTGGTCTATGGGAAGCAAGTCTAGAGAAGGCCACCTCATCTACTGCATCCTGTATACATCCATGTAACTGATGGAACTGAACTGACACCTTGTGCTGTATTACTGTTCACTGCATGGACACTGTAAATTGCACTAATCTGCTTCACCGACACTAACATAACAGAACTAACATTCAGAAGAGACTAGTTTCTATTTCTAATATGATTTTGTATCAAGCTAAACATAAGTTGACTATATTTGTTGAACACTGACCTTTATAGTGAAATATTATTAATATCCAACTTAGAAGCTGTTATTTATGCATAAATTCGGACTAGCGGTTAATATATTGAACTATTTCACATTTAAATGCTTATCACATTACAAACACTTGATGCATTGCACGAGTTGCCCTATGTACAGGTAAACTTGATAGCCAAAATATTGATTTTAAGAATACTGAAATACACATACAAAATACCATCAGTGACTTGTCCTATGTAACCAACACTATCCATGTTTCGGATGGTGTACCAATAATGCTATTATGCAGAACGTTACTATCTTCACACATTTGGCTAAACTAAGAGGCATACAGCAAACCTGCAAAGTCTAGACCCAGAAAAGACGACCTTAACAGAGGACAAACTATTTGGTCTTTTGCACGTTGTTCTCATTCGTATTGGTATGATAATGTTGATTGCCATGACAACCGCACATCTGGATTCAATGTTTCAAGGAACAATAAGTGTTTCCTTTGTCAGTCTTCAAAACAATTCATATAGTTTCTTTAAAAGATAAGGAGGAAGTACTTCCCCAATAATGAATGTCAGAACATTGACTTATTTAATAATCTCTCGGTAACCATGGCAATGTACATTATTTTTTATCTCAGGAATTAATTTGATGTGCAAACAAGGAAAATATATATCAAACACATGGATTTACCTACAATTCATCCTTAATACGATCACTTAAAGTAGAAGGCTTCAGTGACTTGCATCCTCCCAATAAAACGGGGCAACTGCAACGTCGACCTGTTGACGAGCCGTGCGCCGCACAAGAAACCTCTGTTGTGTCGTAATCAATAGAGAGGTCAATGTAAAAACACGACCTGGTCTTTAATGGAATGAATATTGATTAACCAGTGCAAGATCGGATATCAATCAATTATCAAATCGATCACCAGGGAATACTTGCTTCCACTTGTTGCGGATTGCAGACAAAACACATTATTGTCAAGTCTCCGTAGAGACATGTGTTTTTTTAACCCGAAGATAGTTTGTGAGACGCTAGTTTGTACGTTCAGTGCCGCTGAGAGCATTCTACCTTGCCCACGTTTTCAATATGAACGTCACTTGTTTATGGGATTAAGAAACACATTTGTTTTTCTTAGATTCCATAATAGACTACTTATTCTTAGATTCTGGGTATATGAATATAGATAAGAATATGAACTATATGAATATTTATTAATCATTTTCATTTTTAATTTCTTAAAGATCCATATGATTATTTTTTACACGCTCTCAAACATCATGCCATTTAAGCTTTATACTTGTTGCCCAAAGGCAGCATGTACACCACGTTTGCCGTTAGGAGCAACTGCATCGAGAGTCGGATATGCAACTTTTTACTAGATTCTGCTTGGATTCAGAATAATGCATGGTACTAATACAGACATAACTGACATTATATACATAAATGGTATATATGACTCTGTTTTGGTCAAGATATACGGTCATGGTCCAGACTAGACATATCTATTCGTTACATTGGATGCAATCCATATTCTGTATTTATACTAGACACAGCCAGGGTAACAGATCGGAAACATACAGGTTCAGATCACTGACGGACAAGGCTCAGATCAGACAGCCAGACACGGTTCAGATACGTTATATCAATGTTTTAGACCAGGGTCTGACAAGGTTCAGATCTGGTATAGCCAAAATACAGACCAGGGATAGACATGTTTCAGATCTCCTATAAACATATTTCAGATCAGGTACAGACAAGGTTCAGATGTGGGATAGCAATGTTTCAGAACAGGGACAGACAAGTTTCAGATCTGGGATAGCAATGTTTCAGACCAAAGACAAACAAGATTATACAGGAACAGATCAGGTCCAGATCAGGTACATCCAAAGTTCAGATTAGACACAGTCCGAGTTCAGATCCAACACAAACACAGTTTCAGTTATCCTTTACACACGAAAGCACAAATACACCGACCCATCCTGCACCTGTCACTGACAAACACTACCTGAGATTCGCACATATCCGGTTATCGCCTGCAGAACGGTGGCAGTGTCACGGTGCTGAGCACTTTCTTGCCTTGTCGTTGCTCCTCAAACAGATTGCCATATTTGTCAGCTGTCCTGAACACAAATGGGTAAAGGGAATGTAGGTGTTTACAATGGACGCGCCGTTTTAACTGTGACGGTTTATCCGATTCCAGTTTATGAATATAGTTCGACGTCGTGCACACATTAATCATATAGTTTGTTGCTAACACTTCTTCCATGTTGCAAGGGACGGGTAAAATTGCCCTCTCAAACGGGCGGTACTGCAGAGGGAACACCGACGCTTTTGTGAAATTGAAATCTTGTCTATAATGAGGACTTTCGTCCCAAAGGTACTCGGAATTCTCTACATAGAAGAAAATGTCAATGTAAGGCCACCGGTAGGGCTTGTGTTTTAATGTTGGCAGGTCCCTCCTATAGAACTTCCATTGCCGATGAGATGGCGTGTGTACTCCATAGCTGGGGAACTGAGAGAGCACGTGTTGGATTTTATCCTTCTCAGACGCGTTCATCATCACGTCGATGTCGTCGTCCCAGGGGATGATGCCGTGATGACGATAGGCACCTAGTAACGTTCCACCATACAGGAAGTACGTCAGATTGGCTAGTTCGCAAGCCCGGATGAAGGTTTGAAAGGTAATAAGCATGATATTCCTTTCATCAAAGGTTGTGGTTGGCTGGAATAACATATAATACTCCTTCATCGTTGATGGCTGGCGTCGAGATGACAAATTATGGACTTCCAAATCGTAAAATGTCGTGATCCGGCCTATTGTTGATAAATTCACTTTAGACATACGATCTGTATTGACGGACGGAAACACTGGCGAAAGGACGGCAACAATCTTCTCCGAGAGACTGAGAGAGTCCTGTAAGTCCATCCCAACTGGGAGGGTCCTGGTGTAGATGGGAGGGGGGCGTTCCGCCCTGCTTAAACAGTCTGTCTGGTACATGGAAACGATGAACATAATGACGGCAAGGGATAACGAAAACATGGTATACCGCCATAACCTTGGGATAATCGCCCATCGGTGACCACCAACTCGATGGACCATTTTCATCATGCCCGGCGTTCACGTCATCAGCATTGCTATCGAGTACAAGCACTTAATCTCTTCTCTGTAATGCCCCACCACGGGGATTCCCGTATATGTCAGTGATATTCATTTAAGTATTCTCCCTTGCATGACATTTAATCTGCTTGACGAGCGCAATACTCCAATATTCAATAAAACCATATCACGAACGGCAGTCATATATAGATGTGCGCTCAAACGTACTTGACGTGTTTGGACTCTCAATGCAATCAGAATTTCTATTGAAACTGTGAAGAGGTCCGTTGATGATGTATATCGGTTTGGTCCAGAGCTCGGAGTCCTTGTAAACAAGGCTGTAACAGTTAAACCACTTGGGCTCGAGTTTGTCACCGTGTGGTCAACAGATGAGGAGACGCTGCTCCCAACCTCCTCCCATGATGTAGGCTGGCTGACAATCTCTTCCCACACATTTCATTACGGAATATAAACAGTCAAATGAGGTCCTCTCCCAAACATCAATAATTCACATAATGAAAAGAACATTAGAGAAGTGGCTATTATCCCCCATATCAATAAGTATTGGGAAGGAGTAATGTCCAATAATTGAATTACGGTGGTCAATCAATCATCTGATCGATCACAAACATAAACCATCTCTCCCTTTCTGCTGCCTTATTTACATCGCTACTGCGCAAGATGTGCATTGAAACTACGCCTATTGTCCAGCTCCTACCAATTGCCCTCCAGTCTTGTGAGGCGGTGAATGTAACGGCAAACCTCGGCCAGAACGGTGGAATCCAATTAAGCTGTTAACATGGAAATAAGGGAATATTTGATAGTGTATGGAAGCAAACAACCAGTCCCTCGATCAATGGAAAATTAACACCAATTATTGTCTGTTTTAAGTCTGCACGACATAACTATCGTATTTCCTCGTTCAATAACACATTTATAACCAGGCCCGTCAAGCATCATACACAAGATGAGGACAAGAAACCTCGATGCAGTTGAATGATTCAACAGATTCAGACGGCTGTCGCCATCGGCAGCACATTCACAATGCAACACGTAAATCGTAGTCAGTTCGGGCGAGTTTTGAAAAAGTGTCTATTTTTCAAACCATTTCTCTGCCTCTGAGTTACGTTCTGTACAGACCCGATGACAATACTCTATCCAATTGTCAGCGAGACCTATAGTTGAGCAGACATCAAAGAATCATTTTGACGAAGTTAATTCCCAGTTTTGTATACAATCCAAGTATTCTCGTTGACCCGGAGTCGCTCATATAGAGCTATATCCATCCAAGTCAGAAGACAGGCTTGTTTCCTTCCCTATTTATTGACGTACTTCTTGTAACTTGTGATTTATCGTCTGCGTGGGGCTTCAGGGCAGATAATGACTGTTCTTCCACAAACTCTTAAAATGAATAAAGATGAAACAGCAAAAATCGTCTCCACTGGAAATGATATTGAATGCGAATGTCGAATTAACTTTAAGTACTGTTCTGTCTTTCTTCATCACAAAGGTCATCCGCAGCAATTTGCTTTCTTCCTTGGTGCTAAAACGTGGACCTTATTCCCTCGTGCAGTTGTAGTTAATAGTACAGTTAGCCGATGTATCCGGGGCCTAATGAAACGTAGATCTAGTCAGTGTCAGCACCTACAAGCCCCACTACACTGACCAGCCATGCTTGTTAGGGGCTGCTCTGATCACGTAATGGTCAGCACTTGGCCACTGGTCACCGCAGCATCAACAGATAGCCATAGTAATTTCCCAGCCACTCCCTCTCACCCAGTGATTGCCTGCTAGATCAATAGTTAACAAACGCCTCGCAAAGATCCGTCCATGGCTCATCGATGCCAACTTGGGCGTTCGAGGCACCTCACATGCCCCGCGATCTCCCTCGTCCCTCCCGAGTTTGCGGTCCTCGTTCGCGTCACGCGTCTCTCAGGTTCTTTGAAAGCAAAGCAAACTTTCTGAAGCCGATCTCGAAGCTCCCTCTATTACATGTTTAGCTCTCTATTTTGGTCAAGATTGTACGGTCGCGACGGGTGATGATGAAAACGGCTCTTGGCGCCCAGAGTAAATGTTTGGCTTACTAACAAATTGAATTGAGCACCTCGGCTTTTCTTTTCGGAAGTTTTTGGCTTCTCGGTGCGTGTGTTTGCTCACGAACAAGGGGACAATGTAGCAGACGCACTTAATGATTAGTACATTTGAGGCTGGAGAGTTTAACTGCTGAAAATGTCATTATGTTTTCTTGCTTTGGGATTGGATTTGAAAGAACATTTTGAATTACCGATTTAACAGTTAATTCAACAGGTTAGAAATTAAGATTCTAACTAGCGACAGAATTTGGTGTACATGCAAGAAATGTAACTAAACAGAACGTTTTATAGTAATAATCACTTTAATAATAATTGCGATGGTTGATATGGTATTAATGTTTTATCGACTTACAACAGACCTACTCTCCCGTGGAACCTCTTTCAGTTTTATTGCTGTGGGAATCCATGTGCGATGCAGCTAACCGGACACAGTCAACAACTTCCTTCGAGCGTGCAGAATACGCGTGAATCACGAGACTGTCGCACGTGAATCACGAGCTTTCCCAGCCGGTACCATCATTGGCATCCCTACTCGTAACTCACGAGTTTCCCGTTCGTTTCATTGGCCGCGTTTAATCACAGAGTTTGGACGCTGCTGCCTCGTCCCACCAATAATTGTAAATATCAATCAATGTTGGGCGGTGTACGGCTTGGATAATCGCTGCTCTACCCTAACTCGTGTTCGTCAGCGCAGTCATTAAACGCTTTCCACTCCGATTGTCGAAGTTTGTCAGGTCCATTTGCAAGATGAATGAACACAGTGGGAAGTTAGAACGAGCTTGCCTGAGACCCACCGACATTAGACAACGTTACAGTTGTTCGGTGGTGTAGATGTATTATAAGAAACTTGTAATAGCAAGGCGTTTGTGCTGTAGGTGATGATGGGACCCGAGGTCTTCCTTTTTGTACAAATATTATTTCTATTGCAGAAAAACACCACACGTCATCTTGTGTATCTGATGGAATTTGAATACATGAGGGATTCTCTCTGACAATGCCCGGGGATAAATAAACCCTGATAACGAGACAAGCCTTCCAATTACAGCGACGATGCTGGGGATAATACTTGACAGATTCCTGGACCACGGCGAGATAGGATCTCTCACAAGTCCAGTTTCCGACGTCGGGTCGCCAGTTCCGATCGATACATAACTGCAGCTGAGCTGGGTAGGAAAGGGTGGTCGGTGCGTGTGTGGTATCCTTTACATCGTACACGCAGGTTCACGCAGGTTTGTTTGTTTGTTGTTTAACGCCGCACTCAGCAATATTCCAGCTCTATGACGGCGGTCTGTAAATAATCGAGTCTGGACCAGACAATCCAGTGATTAATATCATGAGCATCGATCTACGCTATTGGGATCGATGACATGCATCAACCAAGTCAGCGAGCCTGACCAACCGTTAGTCGCCTTTACATCTTGTGCACATAGTGTTAGGGTGATCGTTGCGCTTGTGGGGTATCCTTTATATATTGTACACTCAGGTCCAGGGTGGTCTGTGTGTGTGGTATCCTTTATATATTGTACACGCAGGTCCAGGGTGGTCTGTGTGTGGGGTATCCTTTATATATTGTACACGCAGGTCCAGGGTGGTCTGTGTGTGTGGTATCCTTTATATATTGTACACGCAGGTCCAGGGTGGTCTGTGTGTGGGGTATCCTTTATATATTGTACACGCAGGTCCAGGGTGGTCTGTGTGTGTGGTATCCTTTATATATTGTACACGCAGGTCCAGGGTGGTCTGTGTGTGGGGTATCCTTTATATATTGTACACGCAGGTCGAGGGTGGTCTGTGTGTGTGGTATCCTTTATATATTGTACACGCAGGTCCAGGGTGGTCTGTGTGTGGGGTATCCTTTATATATTGTACACGCAGGTCCAGGTCGGTCGGTGTGTGTGTGTGGTATTCTTTATATACTCAACAACAAAAATTCCTGTGACACCAATATTTTAGTGTATTTTTAAACAAGTAAACTTTGGTTTTCAATATTGTAGTACATGTATGGAATCAAGACACAAAAACGCAACTGCTACAGAAAAGCATGCATTCCATTCAAAAGTTTACTTTTATGCAAGCCCCATGCATTTCACTACCGAAGAATGGGTATAAAAACATGTGCGTTAACGGGATTCCATATGCATTGTTTGGCATCGTGCTGACAACAACCACTCAGAAAAACAACAAACTTACGCAATTATTCAACATTACGAAATGCCACGACTGACCGAAAATGAGCCATTGGTATGCTTGAAGCAGGATCGAGTAAACGTGATGTTGCAAGAAAATTTAACGTCCACAGAAACACCATTTGGTGTTTATGGCAACGTTGGCAACAGACGAATGCAGTCAGAGACCATCCTCGGAGTGGCAGGCCACGCGTAACCAATAATCGACAAGACAACTGGATTCGAACAACACGCCTACGAAATCGATTCCGGCCAGCAACAGTGACTGCAAGAAGAATCCCAAGCCTTCGACGAATATTCTCACAAACCGTACGTCGTCGCCTCAGATGTGCAGGGGTTGTCGCCAGAAGACCCGCCAGACGTCCCATGTTGACAGGAAACCACCGTCAAGCACGTCTACAGCAGTGCAGACAGCGTCTACACTGAACGGCCGTGGGGACATGTTCTATTCACTGACGAGACTCGTTTTCACCTCAGCCACAGCGATGGACGGATTCGAGTGTACCGACGTCGAGGTGAACGTTACGTCAATCATTGTGTCATGGAAGAAGATCGGTTCGGGGGCGGCAGCGTTATGGTATGGGGTGGGATTACAGCAAAACAGAGGACCCGTTTGATAGTTGTCGAGGGAAATCTC